TTGAGAATTATAAGCAGCTATGGAAACCAACATTTTCAACCCTATTCATGCATGTGTTTGTCTTGTACACTTCCTTGGGCACATTTCAGTGAAAGGTGATTCATGAGAAGAGTCTTGGAGATGTTCCAGCACAACCCCCTGTTGATGGCTGGGGTGAAGGCAGCCCCATAGATGGTTGAAGACCTGCATGGAGGTCCAAGCTTTGCCTGAGCAGATGGAAAGTTGTAGCCAACAGAGACTCCAGAGCAGGAGTGGAGTCATAGTTCCACTAGATCCAACGTTCCTTCCATCATCTTGGAGCTGGTACACACACAAAAAATAGATTTTAAAAAATTCATGGCTCCATCTTCTGCCCTGGCTATCAAATGGGGACAGATCCACCAGATGAAGTGGTGGATCTGCCCCTCCACCCCACCCCACTGCTCCTGGCTGAGTTTCGGATTGCTCTGTTAATAAATTTGTTTGTCTTTGAGGTGTCAGAATATTCTTCATCTGTTGCAGCAAAAACAAGGACAAGCATGGCTATGTCAATTGACGTCATTGTTTAATGTGTTTTTTTTTTTATGCAAACTGATTTGATCTTATTAAAAAAGTGGTATCTGAATATCTTAAATAAGCCCAGAAAAATGACCACCCTACAACTATTTTTACTTTGTCACACTTATTTGTTGCATATTATTATTATTCAAAAGTCCTCTACAGTATTGAGCTTTCCTCCCTGTCTGTTTGGTGAGTCAGACTTGCTAGAGGCAACTAGTCAAGTGTTTATAAGCATGTTCTAATTTAATTCACCATAGACATTCACTTTCTGCAATTCTGGTAGCTATTGTTGTTCTAAGTGATTTCTAATTACAGTTATTTGTTTAAGCAGAACCAATTTGCTCACAGTGTAACTTGGACGACCACATTTTTGGGAATTGATGGCTTTAAAATCTTTGGCAACAGGAAAGAGTTGCAGGTGTGTTTAATGAAAATCTGGGACAGATAGTTGTTTCAAATAATAATATTCCCTTTCCCTATTCTGAATAGTTCATTTTGTCATCACACTCCTAAACCTACTCTGCTTGCAAGCATTGTGCTTTCTAAACTGGGCACAGTGCTGCTTATTAAACAGTAAACAGAATAAATGCAAAAGGAGTTTCTGAATAGAAAGCTGGTCTTTGTGTTGCCCACCAATTTAAATGTACACAAATCTCTCTCTCTCTCTCTCTCTCTCTCTCTCTCTCTCTCTCTCTCTCTCTCTCTTGCTAAAATGTATTTCATTGACTGATGCTGGAAATAAATGTGATATTTTCAGTGTTACATTTGAGTGCTCTAATCTCTACTAAATCATTTTTCCCAGGTGTCACCTCCAAGACAATGATTAATGACATACTAATAAAGCTCACTTTGGCAGTCTGAAACTAAAATGTCATTTCTATTGGGCATGAATAATTTCCAGCTAAATAGAACCTTGCAACATTCTTGTTCAAGGACTTTATTTTAAAAAGTGGTTTAATACAAGTGAAGGTTTTTTTGTGTTTTGTTTTTTTAAAAAAGTGGATGTGAATTATCTACATGATGAAGTGATGTTTTCGTTGGCTGATTTCTCTAAAGCTTTCTGCTCTGCTCTCTTGGGTAACATGGTTACTGTTATCAATCACCACTTGTAATCAGATTTACGAAGTCATCCTGCAGTAGTGTTAGCTAACAGAAAGCACATTTAAAGTTAAGTGTTTTAAAAAACAGAAGTATGAAAATAAATCCACACTTAAATATCAGTTTAATAATAATACCTATTGTGATAATAATATGAATGGCAATTGTTCCTAACAGCTGGTTTATTATTGGCAGTATATCAGTATGTATTTATTTTAACAATTCGTATGCCATTTAACACTGTAATTTCTAAGCAGTCTGTTTTTGAAGTGCTGTACAAAAAGCATACAAAGTAAACCCCTGGCCAATAATTTGGGGTGGGGGGAAGCAATGTATTAATAATAACTGGAAGAAAGAGCCTAAACAATTAAACATAGGAATGGTGAAATAAATGTGTCCGGCAGTGCAATTATATTTCTGTCTTTTCAGAAGTTCCACTGTGTTCAGTAAGGCTTACTGCCAGGTTGGTGTGTAGATGATTTCATCCTTAATGGCTTTTTCTTTGTAGGTAATAGTGGTGGGGTGGGAGGTAGAGAATCTGCTGAACAAGTAAAAGAAAAAAGTGCAAAGTTGCAAACTGGAGAAAGCAGAACACAGTAGAAGTTTGAGGAGCTGGGCTGAGGCATGCAGCATGAAGAAACATGCAGGCCCTCATCTGCACTTTACATTTTAGGAGCCATTACACCATTTTAAATAGTCATTCTCAAATGGGTTTAATAAGTCCCCCTTCCCAGGGAACCCTGGCAATTGTAGCTCTATGGGGTGAATAGGGCTCTCCTAAGAAATCTCAGTACCCTAGGTTAATTACAGTTTCAAGGATTCTTTGGGGGAAGCCATGACTGTTTAAAGTGGTATGAGATAGATGGGGCCTTATCTGGGGGCATGGTTTCTCGATGAGCATCTAATCACAGGCCGTCAAGTATCCCAGTTCTTGTCTATTATGACTCACTTAAAGGTTTCACTATTATGAGTCACTTTCAGCATGTTTTTGCTGCCTTTCCTCGGCTAACAACCTATAGGGTTGCCATAAGTCTGGAAAATCCCAGACATGTCTGGGATTTAACTGGCAAAAATAGAGTCCAGTGGACATTTCGGGAAATCGGCAAAATGTCCTGGATTTCGAAGCTGTCTGCCTATTAAAAGCTCAACAACTTTGAGTTTCATCACCCCTCCCGAAATGAAAAAAACAACTTGTGTCCTGAATTTTACTTCTAGAAATATATCAACCCTAACTGCATTTAGAGATATAGGAGGCAACATGCAGACCACAAGTGAGGCCTACATTTCGGAGTACATTTTCAAGGTGCTGATGCTTAGCTTTAAAATACAGCTTGGGACCAGGGTATCTGGTTGATTGTCTAGCCTTATATGAGCCTGCCCATGAGTAAAAGAATCTTTGGGGGTCCCCCTTCACATGCCCCAACCATCACAGGTGTATATAATTTCTCATTTTATACTTAATTGTCTGTGGAGCTAATTCAAAAGTGCTGACCCATGTTCAGATTCATTTTTGCCAAAAAACTGACCTACATTGTGGATTCATTTGAAGGAAACTATAACCAGGAAAGCAAAAAGTAAATAAAAAAATATATTTGGTTTTTTTTTTAAAAAAATTGTATACAGCCCTATACCTACAGATCTCATGACAGTTCACAACATAAAATTACAAGATAAAAAAATACAAAATACATGATAAAATTAAGAACAGAAACAATCCATCCCCTTCCACGACACTCTAACACACAGTTATAGTGATGTTTGTGGAGAGTGACAAATCCTGGTGCATTAGGAGGGATTTTATACTGAAGGATGTAGCAGAAAGATTCAGGCAATAATTATTTTATTTACTTTTTCTTAATAAGGAGCTACTGTTCAGCAAACTGTTCTTCATCCCCCAAGGGTGGTTTGTGCATCATTGTTTTCTGAATACAAATTGAACAAGGTGAACATTTGATATAGCACTTCTTGCATACCTTAAGCTGTTGAGGAAAGAAAAAGACTGGGTTGGGGCATATAGAAATTCTAAAGATTTCTATTCCAACATGTGTGACCTTTTCACCAGAATCCTGTAATCATAAGACTCATTTACATAATTATTATTTTTTGGTATTTGTCTTCATATGCTGTGAAGATTAAATATCTTCTGACCTTTAAGTATGCCCCATTATCACCTCTCTCTATGTTCCCATACATTCTTCACAGATGCCTCCTTTTTCACTTAGTTAGATCCCTTAATTTGTGCAATGCGCTATCTTGCTTGGAATCCACTTTTGATTTAAATAATGGAAGGTTCCTGACCCAGCAGTTAGATAAACAATGGCATGATTTGAGGTTCCCTACCTTTGTGTTAAATAAACTCCTGGAAAGTGAGCATCTGCAGCAGAGAGTCTAGTACATCTGTAGATGTACATGTCTCCGAATCCTGGAAAAGCAGAGTTGTAAAATGCATGGGGAGCCCCCATTGAAACAAAAGGTTCCCCACCATGGACAGTTGCCTTCCACTAGTTGGAACGTGATAGGAGTGGCAACAGAGGCAAAGCCAGCACATTTGTCCACACTATGTGGACACCACCTGCTGACATTTCCATTCCACCTTAAGGAGCAGACGTATGGAATTGTGGTGTGTCGCATGTCTGTTTACATTCCAGCACAGCTTGCTGGGAACTTCCATTCTGTGTATAGCTTTTTCTTTTTCCGTTCTCTCTGAGACGACAAGAGAGAGAGACAACATATTTCTTTGTCCTGATTTATGATTAATAAATCTGTAGTTGTAGTATGCTTCCACAAGCCTCACGCCTATTCTGTGTGCACAGTTTGCTCTGCTGATAGTGTGCCCTGGCTTTGAAGCCCGGGTGGCTGATTTTCGTCAGAGCAGAGGCTGATGGTCTTTGAAGCGGGAAGACTGGAAGGAGACAGCCCAGCTGGGGCTAGCCAGCTGGCCTCCCGGTCCTCTGCATGCCGACACCACCACCCTGTGTGTATTTAACACTTCAAATATCCTACCGTCCTAGGACTAATATCAGTAATGGAAGGTGCTGTGGTATGGTGTTGTTCACCTTGCTTCCCAACAGTGGGTTTTCTGCTGGTTACTGAGAAAATGAGGTGTTGGGGTGGTTAGTGCAATGCAATGGTAAATCTAATCTGCCTCTCCTGTCACCCACACTGCCTACCTCCCCATTCTGTTTCATCATTAGAAATCCAAAAAAGGACGTCATCTGAGTTTTTCTTAACAGGCAGCCTTGTGGAACTTTAAAACCAGTTCAGATGACTTCTTTTTTTAAAAAAAGAAAAGAAAGAAAGTGCATCTTATTTCACCATATGTTTCAGGTTAATTATTTTTCACTCGAATCTAATAGAATTATTGAATGAATGAATCTTTATTTGCATCAGCCATCGGCCATAGCAACAAAACAACAATAGGATAGACAAAGAATAGAAATAAAAAGTCAATTGTATAAAACACATTATAGGGTTTTGGATCAATAGTCAAATAGTGGAATATTATTCTCATTGCCCCAGCTAAAAACCTTGCATGCGGATATAAATAAAGCATAAAATGGCCCCAAAATAGGCTCAGCACATTAAGTTAAAAAGGTAATAAAAATTAAACAGGTCCGGGACTAGGGCACACTACCCTGTCAGAGTAGCCCTGAGTTTCAGAGCCTGCACTGTGAAGATTGCCACCCCACGTGAAATTTGGGGATTTGCGTCCACAAGAAGTGCTTTCAAACAGTCTTCCTTAGATGAAATGGAGGACGGGATCAAGAGGAGGAGCTTAGGTCTTATTGGGTCATAAATAGGGCAGTAGAAAAAGAAATGTATGAAGTCCTCTACTTCATTCATTGTGCATGGACATAGACGCTGAGTAATAGGGGTCTTAGAGTAGGTCCCCTGCAGGAAGGCCGTGGGTATAGAATGAAAGCGGGCCATTGTAAACGCTCTTCTCAAATTGGGCTCCGTCAGGTCTATCAAGTAGTTGGCAAGTGATCTTACCACTTTCACTTTAGGGAGCCACATGGAGAGGCGAGCTGAGGTGGACTGTGCCCGGTCCATGGCCTCATCTCTTGTAAGAATCCAGGCCCGGATTTTATGTTGGTCCCAAGATGACAACGTGTCGAAATCTGGGAGGGAGTAGCGTACAGTAATAGTCTCCATGGCCTTGGACCATTTGTTGGAGTGAGAACAAGTTAAAAAGGCTTGCCTGGCTAGTAGGGAACCTGGGGCATTGATTAATTTGCAATAAAAACTAATAATTCTAATGTGGGCTCTCGCAACAATGGAGGGAGGCCCAGTTCTGTTCTTAACTGTGCAGCAACCGAGCCCTTGGGGAGACCCAGTATCTTTCGTGCAAAAGAGTTTTGTAGAATCTCCAGCCGTTGTAGTGTTTTTAAATTCCACCCCCAGATTTCAACCCCATACAGTAACATCGGGAGGACTTTGCTGATAAATGCTTTTCTGATTGGTGGAACCAACTGGCCGCCTTTTGCATAGAAGAATTTCTCCAAGGCTTTGATGGTTCTACGGGCAGCCAGGATGGTCATATTTAGGTGAGCTGACCAGCTAAGCCCATGCTGAAAAGTGATTCCCAAATACTTGAATGCTGAGCAATATTCAATAGAGTGGCCCTCAAAATTCCAGAATGACTTCCGAGTTTTCGTGCCAAAAGTAAGAATTTTGGTTTTGGCGAAATTGATTTTGAGGGAATTGGTATCACAATATGTCATGAGCCCTCTGAGCATGTTGTTTAAGCCCTGCTTGGTTAAAGACAGTATCACCATGTCGTCCGCATAGAGTAATATGGGGATCTTAAGCTGTTGTAAAGAGGGGCAGATTGATTTAGGGCCTGCATAGTTGTAACGATGTCGTTGATATAGAAATTGAATAGAAAAGGGGCCAAGAGGCAGCCCTGTTTGACCCCTTTATTCAGAGAGAAAGAATCAGAAAGAGAGCTCCCAGAGGGCCGAATTTTACTCTGGCCGATATGTCATTATGAATTTCCATGAGAAGGAGGAGGAGTCTCTTATCTATGTTGGTGGAACTAAGCTTCTGCCATAGCCTATCCCTGGGAATGGAGTCAAAAGCGGAGGTCAGGTCCACAAAAGCCGCGTGTAGTTTACAGTTGAACCTAATAGAATTATTGGAAATGGCAAAGGAAGCAGCCTGTTAAATGACCTGCTCATGTTCACCGGTCAGATGCGAAATTAATCTTCCTCCTAGAAAGTAATATGATTTGTTTTTCTTTAAGAAGGTGTAAGTCTACTCTTGAAACAGTCCGCAGGCCTGACCTAATAATTATTTGCTGAACGCAGGAAGATACTAAGACATAAAAGTTGAATTTTATCATGAGAGGGCCAGATTGCAATGCCTGAAGGTTCCCTGGGCCTGATGGTCCCCAGCTCTGTTATATGGCAAAGTCCCCAAAGGAATTCTGGGAACATTTTTAAATGGTCTGCCACAGTCTGGTTCAAGCACTGTGTTCAAGGTCTGGTTCAAGCACTGAAAGCAGGGAGAAATTGGGGTTTGGGGCCTTTGCTGTCTCATATAAATGTTAGTGAAAGTAACCTCCCATCTGAATGTCTCCTACCGCCATGTTCAGGAGGGGTTTTACACACCCAGGAAACCTCCAAAATCCAGCTGTGCTGAAAGGTTGCTTCTTCCTTAGTTTCACAGGCTGTTGTATGCTGTTCTACAGAAGCTCCCAATTCTATGGAAATAAAATCCTCAAACTGGAGACTGATGAACAGTATCAGCTAATTAAGCCTTCCTGTTTTTCATTCTGGGAGCTAGATGTTCCAAAGGAGGAGGAAAGCAGGGATTCTGAAGATCAGCCATCAATATTTATTTATTTGACAAAAAAAGAAGAGTGAGCTGTAGTAGAGAATAACTCCAAGTCACAATATTATCTCAGCTGCACATTAGCACCCTAAATTCTCATTCCCTAATTGAGAATCTTTGTAGCATTAGAAACTGTAGAATGACTGGCAAGCATTCTCTGGAGATAAATTAATTTGTGCAAACCACCGTGCTCAGCTATAATTGCTGTCCAGTACCAGAGTGTGTCATGTTAATATTCTTTACTTCACATGAATTTTTTTAAAAAAATGTGCCGTTGCATGAGCGCGTGCATACACACAACACACAGCAACAGTAGTGGGCAGAATGCTTTTGTTGAATATTCAGAGTGTACAAAACTGAATAATCTTTCTTAGAATCCATTAGAACTCTATTGGAATCTCTTTTTGTTCCAGAATAGGCAAGAAGATGGGTTCTGTACACTTCATGAATAAGCAGACACTAACTAAATGGTTAAAATCAGGGGTAGGGAACTTTAGCCCCCCCCCCCCCGCCCAGACTTCTCAATTTCGCTGTCTCCCAAGGCACTCCTTGCTCTGCCACAACCCCTCCCCAGACCACACCCAACATGAGCCTTGCTTTGATTCCTTCTGTAGTATTTTGTGTCTGGAACATGTCACTGAACTCTGAAAATGCCTTGCTTGCTTGGATGGGACATAGAATTGCATGTATATAACTGGCCTAGCGTAAACAGGTAAAAATTTGCATCAGCTGCTATGCCCACTTTTGCACCTCTTCTCCACCCAGTGCTGGATTTATGTATAAACTAAAAAGGCTATAGCTTAGGGCCCCACTCTCTTAGGGGCCCCCAAAAAATGTAAAGGAAAAAACCCTGGAAGTACATTTCAAAAAAATATACGATCAAAAACAAATAAAATAAAACCTACATACAGCAACAGTGTTTTGTGTTGTGTAGGCTCCTATGATATAAGTATTGAGCCCCACCTGCTAGCCTGCTCCCTAAAATATCACTGGTTTGCTCATTTCTATATATAGGGTGCCTACATTCTACATGTGCAAATGGCTTTAGATACCTATTAGGTCCATAAATTACCATATAGCATATATTCAACACAAAAAACAGCAACAATTTGTTGTTGACAAAGGACAGCTGGACATATGAAGGGCCCCATTACCTTCCATAGCTTAGGGCCTCATCAAACCTAAATCTGGCCCTGGCTCCATTCACCACTAGCATGTAGCCTCCAGACAGTTGCTCAGTTGGCTTTTGGCCTGAAAAAGATTCCCTTCCTCCTGCTTTAAAAAGAGCTGTCTAGCACTGAAACATGAAAGGTATTACAGCCAGCTGAACTTCACAGAGTTCCTGAATGGCTTTGAAGACAGATTACAAGGAACTCAAGGACAGAGAATAGAGTTCCCAGTCAAAGGGAGGATTCTGCACATATTAACCTGAATACTTTTAGCATCTCTCTATTGACTGTTGTTTTCAACAGACAAACGTCACAAAAGGCAGGGCCTTTGTGCAAGCCCCTGTGTCCCTTACACATTCTTCTGAAAACCTGATGAGGTTTAGAGTATCACTTTTGAACATTAAGAGATCAGAATGAAACTTGGTATGTCTGTTCAGGTTGCAATTCTACATTTGTCCACCAGCAAAATTTCTTAAACCTGTTTGGTGGTTGCACCAGGAAAACCAAACCAAACATTATTGGGAGCTGAGGTGGGTATGGAAGTTGCATATTGCATTGTGGGAGAGATCATCTGTCTGGTTCTGAAACAATGATAACAGTATAATTCACATTAATGTTCCCATCTCAGGGATATTTTCTCTTCAGCAAGTCCTACTGATTTTGATTGAATTAACTTTAAAGGGAATACTCTTAATTTATAGCTTATAATTCTTCACTTACTATTTTAAAGTGAAAAGTGGCTTTTCTTTGATTAACCACAGGTATACAATAATGTGGGGGAGAAGAAAATGCACACATGGTTATCAAAGACATTGGCATGAAGGTTGGTGTGCACATTCAGAATACAAGTCTCAGCTCAGACCTTACACAAACAGTTTTCAAGGGCTGAGGAAAGATGTAAAATGCATCGATTGCGACATCTGCCTTGGAAACTGAGATGTTTCTTCAGAACTTGGCATGTATGATTATACCAAACTGATTATTATGCTCAGAGTCCCACTGCCCAGTAAATTGTATGCCGGTAACCTTGGCTTGTCATCTCAGCTATTTACAGCTTTATTTCCCAAGCATCCATGCATCTGGCCATACCTCTTTCTAAATAATATTACAGTTTCATTAGGAATCATTATATCAAGTGATGGGTTAATCATCCAGTCTGCACTTTGACACGCCGCAGAATTGCATTAAATGCAGGGGTCATGAACCTCTTCAGGGAAGCACAAATGCCAAATATTTCCACAAGTAGTGTTAGATATTTCAATGTCCTTTGACACGCACAACTGTAAAATCCATTTTATGTAATCATTTCTCTTTCAGGCTAGGGTTGAAAGAAGGTTAAGGATGCATTGTAAGTTATACTATCATTTCATGGCATAGGGCACCTTTTGGTACATAACTGAGGGGTAATTTTACTAAACACATCCAAGTTCTAGCAGCAAAATATCAGTGATGGAACCTGGCGTTTGTAAATGGTTCTTGCTCAGATATTTTAAACATGGGTCAGAATACATTAAGGCAGCTTTCCCCAAATTGATGCCTTCAGATGTTGGACTACACCTCCAACGAGCAACTGACT